CAAAGTGAGCATGTTGGTTCAATGCTCTTCCAGGGCAGACCATGCGCTGAGCTCTGCTGAAGAGCTCTAGCATGAGAAAAAGGGTCCTGTATTTGTTCTGCACAGCGCAAGCAAATTTAATAACATGCTTGCGTTGTGTTTGCTTGAAACTTGTTTCAGGGGTTTCCATAAATGGGATACTCACTGTATCCCATTTATGGAGACACTATGTGTTTGCTTACATGGAATATAGTGTGTGCATAGGGGATCCAGAGTGTGTATGTCAGAAATGTAGTATGTGTGTAGGTGGTGCAGTGTGTGTGTGTAGGGGATCTAGTTTGTGTTTGAAGGACCCAGAGTGTGTATAGGAGATCTAGTGAGTGTGTGTGTGTGTGTGTAGAGGATTCAGAGTGTATATAGAGATCTAGTGTGTGTATATCTGTAGATAATCCAGAGTTGGGTAAGGGATCTAGTGTTTGCCTGGAATATAATGTGTTTAAGAGTGCAGTATGTGTGAGGGGTTCTGTAGTATGTATATATATATATATGTTTGGAAGCATTGTGTGTGTGCGTGTGTGTGTGTGGGGGGGGGGGTGCAGCGTGTTTGGGGGCTGCTGTGTGTATGCATGAGTTGTGCAGTGTGTGTGTGAAGGGTGTATTGTGTATGTTTGAGGGGTGTAGTATGCATTTGTGAGGCGTATAGTGTGTGTGAGGGTGCTGTGTGTGGGGGGGTGCAGTATGTGTGTGTGTGTGCTGTGTGTGTGAGTGAGGGTGCTGTGTGTGTTAGGATGCTGTGTGTGGCAAACCTAGCCACTTTAGATTGTGCGGTTATATGTCTAAAGGTTGTCCTAGAAAGCTGGTCCAATTCTGTTAGGTTCTGTATTTACTTGTAATTGTAATAAAGAGCATTCGTATGCTAGCAGCCGAAAGCCGCTAGCATTCATATGGTAGTTTCACGATCAGTGACTTTCCACACTGTTCGTGAAACGAATAAAGTACTGAATGGGAGCCCACACACAGGGGGTCGTGTGGCTCCCATTAACCGATTGCAACATTGTAGCAATCGGCTGCTAATTGATCTCCTGGGTGGCCGTCGTTCGGCTACCGACCACGAGGTGGCGGCCATCTTGGATTTCCCTTTTGCCCAGCGGTGTTTGGTCGTCGAGTGCCTGGAACTAAAATCGGCTACTCGACGGCACGAACACCACAGGACTTCCAAGCCGTTCTGGAGCGCTGGTCTTTCGGTACTTTTTCCCCAATTGTGTATTCGTGACTTTTATGATGAATGTATATGAAAGTGTGTTTCGTGTGGCGTTCGGTTATTTATGCTGGGATCTGAGCGGTACTTTCACAAAGTGTACGCTCAGACCCCAGCTATCTGCCGAACGGTCATTCGGTACAATAGCACGAATAAAATATAAGTTACTGATTTTTGTGTGAAAAGCCGGTTCTGCTGTACGGAGGGATAATCCACTTAACAGGATATTCTCGTGGGAGTATCCCTCTCGTACAGCAGTGCATGGTGGGAGAAATGTCCTGCATATTCAGTTCCCCATGTAGTCCCCTACTGTACAACCCCTGTAAAGTAATTAAGGAAATTACTTTACATAAATACTGGAGCTTGTGAATAAAATGGTCAGTTGACTCCCAGAACTGTGTTTCGTCCGGTTACTGGGGGATTTGGGATATTGCCTTCATTTTCAGCACTTAACTTGGATTACTTTCTGTACCAGCGGAGATATTGGGATTTCACATTGCAGCTCCGCTACACTGTGTGAGGGTGATGTGTGTTAGGGTGCTGTGTGAGGGTGATATGTGTGTGAGGGTGCGATGTGTTAGGGTGCTGTGTGAGGGTGATGTGTGTGTGAGGGTGCTATGTGTTAGGGTGCTGTGTGAGGGTGCTCTGTGTGTGTGTTTGTGTTAGGGTGCTGTGTGAGGGCGATGTGTGTGTGAGGGTGCTATGTGTTAGGGTGCTGTGTGAGGGTGATGTGTGTGTGTGTTAGGGTGCTGTGTGATGGTGATGTGTATGAGGGGGTATGTGTTAGGGTGCTGTGTGAGAGTGATGTGTGTGTGTGTTACGGTGCTGTGTGAGGGTGATGTGTGTGTGTTAGGGTGCTGTGTTAAAAAAAAAACGTGTGTATGTGTGTGTGTTAGTGTTAGAGTGTGTTAGTGTTAGAGTGTGTGTGTGTTAGTGTTAGAGTGTCTGTGTGTGTGTTAGAGTGTGTGTGTTAGTGTGTGTGTGTTAGAGTGTGTGTGTGTTAGAGTGTGTGTGTGTTAGTTTTTGTGTCAGTGTGTGTTAGTTTGTGTGTGTCAGTGAGTGTGTTACTGTGTGTGCGTCTGTTAGTGAGTCTGTTTGGTGTCTGTTAATGAGTGTGTGTTTTGCAAGTGAGTGTGTATGTGTCTGTCTGTCAGTGAGTGTGTATGTATGTCTGTCACTGAGTGTCAGTGTGTGTGTTAGTTTGTGTCTGTCAGTAAATGTGTGTCTGTTAGCTAGTGTGTATGAGTCTGTTCGTGAGCGAGTGTGTGTGTGTCTGTTAGCTAGTGTGTATGTGTCTGTTCGTGAGAGTGTGTGTCTTCAGCACTTACCTTTCTCCAGCGCCGGACTCCCTTGGCGCTGGGGATCCCTCCGCCCCGATCCGCCTCTCAACTCCAAATGCGCATGCGCGGCAAGAGCCGCGCGCGCATTCAAACCTCCCATAGGATAGCAATACTCAATGCTTTCCTATGGACGTTCAGCGTCTTCTCACTGTGATTTTCACAGTGAGAATCGCAGAAGCTCCTCTAGCGGCTGTCAGTGAGACAGCCACTAGAGGCTGGATTAACCCTCAGTGAAACCTGCTATGTTTTCAGCTTCAGGGTTAAAACTAGAGGGACCTGGCACCCAGACCACTTCATTGAGCTGGGTGTCTGTAGTGGTCCTTTAAGTGCACCGACGTACATACATGTGTTGCGGCCCCGGCCCGCGCAGAGTAAGCGCGGGGGGGGGGGGGCCACGAATCAGTTTTCGCACCGAGACCCCAATGAGTTGTGTGTACGCCACTGGTTGTATGGTGTATGTTTACCATTTATAATTGACATTTGCAAGTTTACACTTTCCCAAAGTGAAACAATGTCAATAATTCACTATTTTCCCACTGGAAATAGATTGTTATTTTTAATATGACAACAATTATCTAGTGGGCCACTGCTCTAGTGCCCCTATGGATTAGTTTATACTGCCTCCATCATGACCAGAGCAGGCTGAGGCAATAAGGAGAGAGAAAAGCCCTTTCAAAAGTGCCAGCCCTTGTTCCCACTATATAGTTGTATTGTGTGTATGATTTAGGAGATTATGCATGTAAGATACTAAGCATGGACACAATCTACTAAATAGAGCTAGTACAACATGCACATGATTTTAAAACATACTTCCCCTGTCACCCCTGCGGCTCCTTACTCGCTAGCGATTATCATAATTACATTGTGCAAAGTATTTTTACTCTGTTCTTGATGCTGACCTGCAGGGCCGGCCTTAGGCCATTAGGCGCCCTGTGCGAAAAGTCTTCATGGCGCACCCCACCATGTTGCCTGTATAGAGTCACACACACAGGCACAGGCAGACAGTCACACAAACAGTTACAAATAGACAGTGAGACACACTCAGTTACAGGCAGATATTCAGATACGCTCAGTTACAGGCAGACAGTCACACACAGTTACAGGCAGACAGTCAAACATGCTCAGTTACAGGCAGACAGTCACAGAGCCAAACATGCAATTAAAGGCACACAGTCACACACAGTTACAGGCACACAATCACGAACAGTTACAGGCACACAGTCACACACACTGTTACAGGCAGACAGTCACACATACTCCATTACAAGCAGACAGTCATATACACTCAGTTACAGGCATGCAGACACTTACGCACGCTGATAGGCACACACACTCAGTTAAAGGCAGATAGTCACACATACAGGCACAGGCACACACAACAGCACAGCTACAGCGACACACACAATTGGAGTAAAACACACAGCCAGACAGTCACACACAGGCAAGCAGACAGACACACACGCAGGCAGTCACACAGACAGACATTCACACACACAGGCAGGCAGACAGTCACATACACACACAGGCATGCAGAGACACAGGCAGGCAGTCACACAAACAGGCAAGCAGTCACACACAGGCACTCAGTCACACACACACAGACTTACCTCTTTCCATTATGGCTGGAAGGGGGAGTGGATGCAGTTGGTAGTTGGGGAAGCAGGGATCTTCTTCCCTCTTCCTGTGCTGCAGTTACCAGGGGCTTTGGGTAGGTATTAGCTTCCCCTCCGCCTCACCATAAGCCTGCCTCTGCTGCTTGTTAAGCGATAACAAAGCGATAACCGATTCCACGATTATTATTTTTTTTTAATAGACCCTGTTGGAGAATAATTAATCCTCCACAAGGGTACCTGTTTTAGCTCCCCCTGCACTTCTGTCACCCGGCCACATGGCGCCCCCTGGTCCATTGCGCCCTGTGCGGCCGCACAGCTCGCACACCCCTAAGGCCAGCCCTGCTGACCTGGACAGATCACAGGCAGGGCTGGATTTCCCATTTGGCAGAGTAGAGACTTTCCTATGGGCACCTGACCACTAGGTGCGCCTGTTTTCAGCACTTATAAGGTGCCTTTTTGAGCCTTGTCCTCTGTAATGTCCTCTTTAGTACCCTGTAGTAGACCCTTTACCTTAGTCCTATGTTTAACTCATATTAAAACCTAAATAACCCATGTATCTAAATACTAAATTTAACCTAATTCCAGTCCTAAACACAATAATTCTAAACAGCCCTTGTACTACATCTGTAACCCCTCTCAAACAATTAATCATTTTAACAATAAACACCCTTTATAAACTAACTCTGACACATTCTGCACTTTTGTCAATAAATTCTGCAGATTAAAATTCTTTCCCCATAGATTGCCTATTGCAATAGGATATTAAAGCATACAAATTCCACTTAAAAACAGAGACCAAATAACACAGACCTGATAAACACTATTTTTATTGTGATACAAAATATTACTTCATGCTTATATATTTAAGTTGTATTTTTTTTTTTTTACATTTGCAATTTCTGAAAATGTTCCAATACTGTAGGGAAATACTGCATGTATGCATGGGTGCTTGTGCATAAGGTATGCTATGGATACACAAGCAGAAAGCAAACAAAATCTATAAAACATAATGCAACAACACAGTAAAAAACATGTTAAAATACAAAATAAAAGCATAGATTTATGCAAACATTGGGTATACAGCATTTATAATATATAAAACGTAGAAAAAATTATTGCATATGTACACTTTTACAAACAACTTGTCAAATGATTGTCATTTTGCTTACATTATAGTCTAATAAAATAATGTACAATTTACAAAGCAAAATAATAATAACAAATAACTATGGACCCTACTCAAAGAATATAACACATTGAAATAAACATGTAGACTTTATAGCAGCAATGTTGGTGATTATATATATATATATATATATATATATATACACACAATGCATGATACAATTAATGGAATACTCCAAGCTTCATAACCACTATTTGTCATTGTGTAGTCATTATGGTGCCATGAATGCCCTTGTTTCATCAACTATTTTAGATCAGTTTGACACATAACTGGGTTCTGTTAGGAGTCTGTGATGCATCTGGTCTTTTCAGTGCTGAAGAAGGCCAATGTCACTTTTAACATATTTAATGACTGAGAGCACATAACTGATGTTATCAGCCAATGAATGCCTACATCGGCATATGGCTTCTCCAACACTGTGAAGTCCAGGTGCGTTGCGAGTCCCTGGGGAGACCAAATAGTTTTTTAGTTTTTATTGTTTTAACAACCATTGATTTATTTGTAGCAAGTAGAGGAAAAATACATAGTTTTGAGGATCCATGCTTGATTACTCAAAATAAACCTAAAATGGGAAATGCTGTATTAGAGAGGGCAGAAGTGCACAACAGGTGCACTCCCGATGTTGTATGAGTACAACTCCCTTGATACTTTAACAGATTTTAGATTGCAAAATTATCATAGAAGTTGTAGTTCTTAAGCATCTGGAGATCTACATTTGGGCTCATGTGAAATTAGTATTTTATGCCAGAGCTCGCCAAAGGTACATACTGAAATCTTTAAGCGGATTTCTTACTTTTCTGAATTTCATTCAGATATAATCTTTATGAAATACTTACTAATCAAGACTGAGTTGGAATTTCATTGAATTTCCAATGCAATCCAAAAATATCATGACACAAATTATTGACTACTTTGTCTTATGGTGAAGCCTGAGGTTGACAAAAGGTAGAGCTCGACTTTTGTCCAATCCCAACACCAATCACAAATAATGGCTGTGGGATTCGGACTCTGTCTATGGTGAGTCCTGGCAGCTGAGCACCATAAATATGGCGGTGACTGTGAGGAATAGCCAAAGACCATCGAAAGTAACAGATCCCCTTTAAGTAAATGTATATGTTGATTTATTTTTTTCTGTTCAGGTGTAAACAATTCAAACCTACCATGCTTGTCCAAATATAGATTTAAATGTTTATTCTAATGATAAATTCGTATATTAAGCATCTACTGTAAGCCTGAATATGAACATCTTAATAATTGTAATGTATTCCTGGGATAAATACAGTGACTATAAAACATTATTTTTTTTGAATAGAGCAATGAAGTGTAGATTTCCCCATCCCCCCAAATTAAATTTGTTTGAAAATAACTGTTCCTTTTTTATAGAAAGAATCCATTCTGCCTTAGTAGTAGCATATTTTCAATAGCTAGGATTGTTTCATTATGGAATGCTTATACTACATACTACATGGTTGTGGTAAAACAGTCCTTGTCATCATGTTTCATAGTAATGGTTGATCTTTATTTTAACTTGCTGATTAGTTAAAGGGACTCTCCAGTGCCAGGAAAACAAACCGTTTTCCTGGCACTGCAGGTCCCCCCCAGGTTGCTGAGGGGGTTAAAAGCCCTTTAGTGACTTACTTGTATCCAACCACCGATGTCCCTCGGTGCTGGGTCAGGCTCCACTGACGTCGGCGGGGAAGACCTAATGCGCATGCGCGGCAATTGCCCGCACGTACAGCAACGACAGCGCACGCACATTACACCGCCCCATAGGAAAGCATTATTCAATGCTTTCCTATGGGAATTACAGCGACGCTGGGGGTCCTCATGCATTGCGTGAGGACATCCAGTATCTCTTAAAACACTAAAAGTGTTTTAAGAACCCAGAAGCTCCTCTAGTGGCTGTCTCATAGACAGCCACTAGAGGAGGACTTAAACCTGTTAGGCAATTAGTGCAGTTTATGAAAAACTGCACTAATTACTCTTGCATGGTTAAGGGTAGTGGGAGTTGGCACCCAATGGACAGGAGTGGTCTGGGTGCCTTGAGTGTCCCTTTAATAAAATCTTTTAAATTGCCTTCATTTACAATAAAGATACTTCTGATAGCATTTTTAACAGGGGTACTTTATAAACTGCTCTATAGTCAGCTCGCTGTATTGGTAATTAGTAATGGTGCCTCCTCCCCATTTTAAGGAGTCAATTGCTTGGGATGATTTTGACTTCACTACTTCCCAGAGCAACAGAAATTCATCAGCAGGAACTTCCATCAGAAGCTCTGCATTGCAGGGCTTAGTTCATTGGCTAAGAGCAACAGAGGACCATTCTCTGCATTGTATGGCTTAGCTCAGGAGAGCTAAATAAAGTTCCTAGTGAGGAACTTCCAGCTCTTGGAAGACTTGTATTGTGGAGGTTGGGAAAGTGAGAAAGCAAACCGTTCAATAACAGCTTGAATCCCTACAATGCGGAGTGGGGTGGGCAAAGTGCTCCTGCCCATAAACCACAACAGTGAGCTATAGGGGTTATAGTGCTTGGAGAGTTTCTTTTTATTGAGGAAGACTAGAGTTTCAGCTCTATAGTATCAAAACATAAATTTCTTCATAAACATACACTTTGACCTGGAAATAATAATGTGTAATCAAGACAGATGGGGATTATAGATAAACAGCTCTTATTTGTAACATTTAAGCACAACATTTGAGTACAACGCAGATGTACTTGACATCACCCCATCAAGACAAAAGGCTAAACAAATACTAGAAAAAACTCGTGGCACAACCTCATTTTTGAATGGTTAGTTTTAATAAAATGCTGAACAAGTTTGTGGAACTTTTAACCCCTTAAGGACCAAACTTCTGGAATAAAAGGGAATCATGACATGTCACACGTCATGTGTCCTTAAGGGGTTAAACCCTTCATCTTGCCTATTCTCAATTTCTCAGGACTCATAACCCTCTTTGTAGACCTAAGGAGGATTAACCAAAGGGAAATCTTATATGACTGCTTGGGCCCATGGGTTAGACAGGGTCCATGAAACTCTTAATTTGCTTGGCTCCGTTTACTATCCCTATGTAAATAATAAAGGGGTAGCCTAAATGGTAACCCACCGAGGGCATGTTTATCTTTATCTTCTGTTTGTTGTACATGAGTTGTCAAGGAAGCAAAAAGTATAAAACAATTTTGAAATAGTATGCTTTACCTAATCAATAACTGTGTTGGCCAGAGAAGTGCATGAGTCAAATAAATCTTTCTTTTTGTTTTGGAATAAAACACAGACCAGATGAAGTTGCTTGATTTTTGGGCATCTGAGAAAGTCATATTGGAACTTGTACAGAACATTAATAAATCAGCCCATGTCTCTTTAATTAAACATATCTGTGAAAGTTTCCAGTCTTTCATTTCAATTTCTAATAAATAATTTCAAAATGAAGAGATAAAAACAAAAGTCAAACCGCTGTCAGTTAAAGGACCACTATAGGCACCCAGAACACTTCAGCTTAATGAAGTGGTCTGGGTGCCAGGTCCTTCTAGGTTTAACAGTTTCTGCTGTAAACATAGCAACAGAGCAACAGAGAAACTGCTATGTTTACAAATGGGTTAATCCAGCCTCTAGTGGCTGTCTCATTGACAGCCGCTAGAGGTTCTTCCGCGCTTCTCACTGTGATTTTCACAGTGAGAAGACGCCAGCGTCCATAAGAAAGCATTGAGAATGCTTTCCTATGGACTGGCTGAATGCGCATTCAGTCGATGACAGCGAAAAGGAGGAGGAGAGTTCCCCGCGCCAAGGGAGCCCGGCGGGGGAAAACAGGTAAGATTTAACCCCTTCCACCCCCTAGAGCCCGGCGGGAGGGGGACTCGGAGGGTGGGGGGTCCGAGAGACCCTATATTGCCAGGAAAACAAGTATGTTTTCCTGGCACTATAGTGGTCCTTTAAGACAGTGCTTCCCAACCCAGTCCTCAAGGCACACCTACCAGTCCAGGATTTAGGGATTACCCAGTTGTGTCTAAGGTGTTTTTGCAAAGAAGAAAAAAAACACATTAGACACAACTGGGTAATCCCTAAATACTGGACTGGTAGGTGTGCCGTGAGGACTGGGTTGGGAAACACTGCTTTAAGATAGCATGAAAACTGTGTAATCAAAACTAGAAAAGAAGAGGAAATTAAATTCATTGCAAAGGCAAAGTTTAACAAATATGCTAATAAACAATATAGCTTATTTAACAAAATTCAATTTTAGAACATTATACCATAGGCAAATATATATATATATATATATATATATATATATATATATAAATATATATATATATATATATATATATATATTTGCCTGATGTCATTGTGTGTTATTTAAAAAATCACTGATCATAAATATAGGGCTAAATGACAGATGTGCACCTATTGATCCTTCCACTTCTCTTAGATTCTTCAAACAGGAAGTCTCAGATTGCTGCAGACAGGGGTGACGCTTATTGGCTGAGAGCATTATCTGATGCTTTAAGCTAACCAGTAGCTCTCCATTCCTAAAAATTGCTTGAGAATAATACATAGTTTCATAAGCCAGTTCGTAAATGGGGAGCTACACTGACACTCTCAGAAAATCAGTGGTGACCCTGTACACAGTTGTCTGAGGCTTCCTGTTTGTTCCTCTTCTGTCATTTTTCTGAGATTCTTCAAAGCTAAATAGCACTGGAGAAACGGTTTTGGGATTAATGAACAATTTTACCCCTAATGTTAAAATAGCACAAGGGAAGCCGTGGCACCTTAACAACTTCGTTCAGAAATACAGGTTTACATTAAACGTTTACATTGCTGAGTTGAAGTTTTTTGTTTTCAGTTAAATAAACTCTACAGATAATTAAACTTTCTTTCTGGAAGCTATATTTTGGTCCTTTTATCACTCATTAAATTATATGATCATAGTTCTACCTCCAGAGAATTGGTGAGAAATCCTTTTCATTTGAGTTCACAGTTACCTTTTGATCATTCTGTTATTTGAAATATGTATTACTTACTCCCTTGTTTCTCTGTATTAACTAGTTGCAAGATATAATTTATGGACTCCAGAATTAATTATCTGCATCAATGCTTAAAAGGGATACTATAGGTACCCAGACCCGTTCATGTCATTTAAATGGTCTGACTGCACTGTCCCTGCCACCTTAACCCCACAGCTGAAAACATTGCAGTTTTAGAGAAACTGCCATGTTTTTATTGCATTGTTAAGACTGCCTCCAGTGGCTGTCTACCAGACCGTCCCTATAGGTACTTCCTGCTGTTTCACTGAGTTTAACTTCCTGATACAACTCTGGACATCATCACTCTTTGCGTCTTCTAAATCCCCAATAGAAAGCATTGATTCAATACCTATAGATTGTTAGCACTGAGTTTTCAATAAGTAATTCACAGCAGACTATTATACCTGAATAACATTTTCAAATATTGCCTTGTTCCTTATTTGTGCTCTGTTTTGGATTTTAAAAGCTTCCAGGAAGTATCATAGGCACATCAGTCTTGATGCAATTGAAAGTCATGTCTCCTTTTTCACAGGACTGTCTTTAACAGAAGCATATCATATAATTTTGTGAAAAATTATACTTGTCTCTCTCTTTATACACTAGCTTTATTGTTTATCATAGTGATAAATGGTCTGTTTAATTGGATTACGTTGTAATTGCCTACTTACTTCTTTACCACTGATGGTGCAGCTATTGTGTTGGGTTTGTAGTTGTTATATTAATCTAATAGACATTCCCTTCTCCCACCCCATGCTACCCAATCTTCCCTGATTTGGAACACTTCACCAAACAGGCTGCAACTTTCCCATGAGGCTGACATGCTTGCTTCATTAGCAGTGGATTGGTGTCTGTCACTCTTACTCTATTCCTCTTGAAATGTACGAGACACACTTGCTAAAACAAATACTGACAGCAACTACAGCACAGTGCAATAGTTGCTGTGAAGAAGAATAAGGGAACCATCTATATGAAGGGACTCCTATTTTCTCCTGTCCAGGGGTGCCATCAGAAGTCTTAGGGCACCTTTAAAAAATATTGCTCGGGCCCCCTTCACACAAACTGTCCTACACACACATTGCCAGACACAAATATACAATGTCATGCACATGCATGGTTAGATAGACAGGTACACAATGTTAGAAACACACCTATACTCATAGTCATATATACATGCCACACACAGCATCAAACAGACACACATTTCGACATGTGTACACAGTCAAACACACACTCATACAATGTTAGATACACAGGCATAGCCAGAGACTCATGCACACTTTGTCAAACAAACAGTCAGACATACACACTCACACACATAGTTACACACACACGGTCAAACACTCACATGCAGATATACAAACTTACACACACACTGTCAAACAGACACACATATATATATATATATACATATATATATATAAAAATCCAAATAACCCCTGCACTCCAACTGTAATAAAACTTAAATACCTGGTGCTCTGGTGGCTGAATGATATATAATAAAGTTATACCGGCACAATTTTAGCTTGAAACACTGCACAACGAGAAACACTAGCACACGTGTGCCGAGGGTTAGTTACACCCCTGATGAAAGCTCCTGTGAGGAGCTGAAACGTCGATTTATTCTTCGCAATAAATGAAGATTTGTTTGTGGTGAAACCCTTGAGTGCCGGTATAACTTTATTATATATATATACATATATATACAAACAAACACACAATACATATACACATATACACCCTCTGTCAACAGACACAAAGCCAGACATACGCACACACACAAAAGTGACATACAGACAGAGTCAAACACTTAAAAATACAGAGCACCAACCTCTTCCCCTCTCCACAGTAATAGCCATAAATATCCCCTACCCTTAAAAATCACCACTCACTTTACCTCGCATGCCATGTATTCCAGCTTGTGCAGCAGAGCAGTGTGAGAGTCGAGACCAGGGGTGAGGGCAGTGATATAACATGTCATATCCCTGACTCCTCGCACATGATCCTCGGTTGCTAGTTAGCTCTATGGTAACAATGGAAGGAAGTGATATCTATATCACATCCTACAGTGCTGCTGTCTGTGAGGGAGGAGAAGAAGGTGTAAGCCAAAAACTATTTATGGATATAATTTGGAGGTGGAAGGGCTGCAAGGTGGGAGGGGACATATAAGACTGCCTGCAAGGGGAGAATCACATTACATCTGCCATCTGCACTCATTGCATAGAATTGATATTAGGTAGCCCGACGTGTGCTAGGGCCTAGGGGTGTAACTAGCCCTCGGCACACGTGTGCTAGTGTTTCTCGTTGTGCAGTGTTTCAAGCTAAAATTGTCTTCCAGACTCCTAACTACATCCAGAAACACTGTACATCCAGATTACTACCACCATGACCACTTCAAAAGCAGAAGTGGTCATGGTGGTTAGGTAAACTTTTAAGGATTATCAGATTGAACAATGTCTATGTATGAGGAGGGTCACTATTTTTGCATTAAAAAATATATTAAAAAGAAAAAAAAATTCACAGAACCAATTCCTTGGTAAATTATGTGTGTTTATGCTATAGATTTAAAATATCCCTACTTACTGTTGAGTAACACAATACAGTTACATTAGATTATATACTTTCTGTGATGCAAAAATGACAATTGTATACATACACTCAGGTAAGTTAACTAACCTATTCAAGCAGGTTAAGTAAAATATATATAAATGTAATAATTTATGTAACAGTTTGGGAGGTATTTAAATATATATATACATATATATATATATATATATATATGTGGGTAATATACATATACATACAATGCACACTGTATATTAATTTATGAGTTTACTTATAAATACAAACATCGCCCGTATCTGTCCATCTCTGATCACCTCTATATAAAGACAGAGTGATGATGAGGGTTAGCTGAGAAAGAATGATAAAGAGTTAAATTGCAAAGGAAGTGTTATGAAGAATTGCTTGCAAAAATACCAACAAATCTTCAAACAAGAACATATATTTTAAAAAATGGGCGGCGGGTAAATGAAATCTACAATGATCCATGCATGTTGCTTTTTTTTTTTTTAAATAATAAATAAATAAAAAGGCACTGTTGAATTTCTATACATATAATGATTAGTACATACTACCACACTTTTTATTAATACCTAGCAAAGTGTGCATGTTTTAAATGTAGGCATTCTATGAATGAAAGAATGCATAAGAAATTGCAACGCATAAATATATATAACACAGAGAAGCACTTATTCGGTTACAGCCAGACTTTAATGGGGAAGATACTTCCACTTCTGATGTGATGAGGGCTGACAGGGGTACTTGAGATGCCAGTGTTGGGCTGTCGGTATTTATGAGAGAATTTATCTTCTCTGCCTCTTTATTGCATGCATCAATCTATACAAACAAAAGAACAGAATTTTTTTTATTTTTTAAAACTTTTTATTCATTATCCACTGTGGATCAAAAGAAATTCCATTAGACACAATTGTAGGCTTTGTAGATAAAGAAGACTTTATATGTTTCCCATTTTTCTCAATTTAGTTTTCTGTATATATATATATATATATATATATATATATAGAGAGAGAGAGAGAGAGAGAGAGAGAGAGAGAGAGATGTAAAAAACAGATACAATTCATATCTTGTAATACCTTTTTTATTGGACTAACAGAATTTTTTAATGACAAGCTTTCGGGAGAACCTTTCTCAAGTCTAAAGCATTTCTGAGCAAGACGACACATAGAATTCAAAGTTGAGTTGTGATACAGGGGTTAAAGGAACATGTGTGCAGATAAGACACAGGTTTGATAGAAAATAGACACAATTCTCACAGAGGGTTGTAAATATCTTGTGTTTAGATCACAGAGTGAGGTGGGAGAGAGAGAGAGAAAAACCAAGCAAACAGTGCAGAAGATGGTGCTAGAAGGGGGGAGTGAAAAATAAATAAATTATTACTTATATTAAGCATGCATGAATTCCCATCCAAGAGCTACAGGATATGCATTAGGCCTAAACCCAGCATACATACATGTGAAATGTTCTTTCCCTAGATTTACATTGGGTCTATTCTTTTTGCAGTGATACTTTTCTGGAAGCCTAGTTCTAAAACTACCTACAATAATATTTCTTTTTCACTTGGTAAGGGTTTTGATTTCATACAAAAGAAGCTTCTATAAATCAATATTGATATGTTTAAAATTATTAAAGAAAGCATTATTTTACAGATCTGCTTAATTTTCTTTGTTTAATTACATTTGTTAAGAAATCACAACAATTAGATTTTATTTCATAACAACATTTTTAGGTATTTTATAAATTGTATTTTATATGGTAGAACATCTTCAGTATTGCAAACACAATATTTGCATGTTTACTGCAACTATTATCAACATCGTTATAAGCAAATTTACTCCAACCAACTGTGATGATGAGGCCGATATCACATATCTTACCTGTATTGATTTTGGGTGACTATCAACAGGTACAATAAGAACAATCAACTCTGATTCCATGCTTAAATACCCAAATACATCACACTGTGGGACAGAGACGTGTAGACGGATTTTTTGAAGTATGTCAAGGACAGTTATTGGCATTTTACTTGTTGCCTAGAAAAAACAACAACACTATTTATAGATAAGTACATTTCTGAAAACTGAATTTTCTATATAACAATTAAAATTACTTTGATTATGCATCTTATGTAATGATTATATAACTGCCTTTTACTTCTCCATACATTCCACAAACAGTGCTGTTCAAATCTATATGAAACAAATTGAATGGTTAATGTGACCTATTTTATTCAACCAAAATTTAAGGCATTTGTAAAGTGCTTGTTATGTGTCCACTTTAGAGCAATACAAAACTGGTACTTGAAAGACTATAGCAGCTTATGTTCATTGTACTAGTCATGGTACCAGGTGGTCCCTTGTCCCTGCCTGTCTGCATTCAATTGCTTATAACTACAGCAATGTGCAAAATCCCAACAGTTTCTCCCCTCTCCAGCTCTTTCTCTCTTTATTAGCCCAGTCCCCATTTTGCTCACCAATACAATTTAGTTCTATTTCTTTAAACCTCCGTCTTCAATCACCAACCACACCTCTCCTACCCAGCCCCATCTAATAATTTCTTACTAGATTAATCAGTTTCGTTCCTCTTCATTTTGCCTCGATTCATCATCTATCCTCCTCATTCTACCTGTCTTTCTTTACTCCTCCTCATTCCATATTCTTTCTCATACCTGTCCATCTGCCCCCTCTACATGCAGACTCATCTCTCATTTCATTCTCACACACCATTTAATCTTCTCATTAAACCCATATACTTATATTATATCTCTGTTCTCCCCTTATAAAATATATATTTTTCATTCACTCTTCTCAAATTCTGTTTCCATTTCCCCGTTACATCCCCTATCTACCCTTCTCAATCTAATTTTCTTTTTTTTTTTTCATTGTATCTATTCTTTTCTTATTGTTCCACTTCCACTGTTTCCATGCTCCATTTTTTCATCAACCTCCTGAATATGAAGTACACTGCATGACTAGTGGGCATTTTGGTTATGTGTAATGAAATGGCTGCAGGAGAGCCCCCATTTAACAATTGTCAAGAAATATAAGTAATGAGACCAATGGGGTATAGAACCTCTAAATATGTCTGATAGCTTATCATAGAAGAAAGGGGTATTATAAAATGGTATGTATGAGCTGGAATTATATATTTATGGGATAAAAACAGTGGATGTTTTTGTATAGATTTATAAAATAATTTAAGGGATAAAAGGAGAGGGTTAGCAATATTTACAGGGTTATTCACTAAAATGAGAACCCAAGGTAAATTCAAAGTGAATTTCAAATTTATGGGCAGTCAAACTGGAAAATAATCTTTAATACAGGTATACTATTAAATTCAGCTTCTCTGGCCTTTAATTGGAAATTCACATTGAATTAACTTAGAATTCTCAGTTTAGTGAATAACCCTATTAAATTCCACCACCTCCATCCACCTTAGAACCTATGGCTTTTTCTTCAAGAAGAATGGGGAAATTTCCATCTGCAACCAGGGCTTGTAAAATAGCATTTCAAGAAGGATTACATTTGCTCAAGGCAAAGGATTTAAGTACTAATAAATAGCTCATTATAATATTATTTGAACATCCCTGATAACAAATTGTTAGGTACAAAAATATAATTTTTAAAGTTAGGAATTATTAAGAAAGGAGCATTGCTGAAAGCAAAGTACAAAGTCTTATACTGTAATTGTAGACGAACATCTATACACATTATTGGGCAAACCTTGCGAGAGGCAGTGCTTTCTTGTCAAAGCTCTGCCAATGGATGGCCTTTTCTGCCTTGAATGCTCACACAGCGCAGAGCCCTCCATAGGCTCACTTGGATTGTTTGTCTTTTTTGCTTCACTATTTTTTGTTTTTCATAACTTTTTATGCTAATCAGATCCTTTTTTTATTTTAAACATATGTTAACTGCAATGTCACTGTTTTATTTATTTGGCTATTGTTCAGGCTAAAAAAGCAAATGGAAGAATAAAGTCTTAAATTGCCAGTATAATAATGTTAACAGTTTTTAAAAATTACTTATGATTTATTGCCCCCCACCCACCCCCCTCCACTAGCTACGAACATGTTAGGAAGGGCCCTCAGGTCTCTAACAGATATAATGCCTTTTTATACTGTATTGTTTTATTTAACAAACTATATTAATGGAAAGAAACCATCAGTTCTTGTCCATGAGCAACTGGCTCTCTGTATTGGATTAGAAATCCTCTCTTTCACACTATACACATACACAATGTATCCTTACACATACACAGAAAGACACAATGCATCCCTACACACACAAACACAGAACCATGCAATGCATCACTACTCACACACACCAAAACACACAATGCATCCCTTACGCACACACACTGCTTCTCTTACACACACACAGAAACAAAATGCATCTCTTACACACACTCAATGCACCCCTTACAGACACACACTGCATTACATTATATACACAGAAACACACCTTGCATTCCTTACACATACAAACACAGATTCACACAATGCATCCCTTACACACCCAGAAACACACAAAGCATTCCTTACACACAAACACCACACACTGCATCCCCTATACACACGCTACATCCCTTACACAAATTGGTATCCCTATACACTACATTCTATAAGTACACACACAGACATAACATCCTCTGCATAAACACATTCCCTACACACATACACTCTGCTCCCTGTGAGCGAACGCATGGTTGAGCCATGTAGGTGGACTTATAGGTGGGCCTTGTAGGCATACTCACGGTTAGGCCCTGGGGGCCCAGACCTTGAACTGTGTAAGGGCCCCCAAAAAATGCTGCTGCTTCCTGTTCGTTGATTTTTGTAAGCACTATTACAAACAATCTCTACACCAGACTGTAGCCTGAACCCATCATCATCCTCTTGTCCTCATCTGGTGATAAGTAGGCAATCCAGTATATTATTAGTGGCACTAATCTCTAATTTACCTCACATTATAGAGCCACTATAGTCATCAGAACCACTACAGCTTAATGTCCCTGCAGGCTTTTTAATGTAAACACACTGCCTTTTCAGATAAATGACACTGTGTGCAGAACTGGTTTTGGCCCATATGGCAGATCATATGGGTGGGGCATTGTGATGCCACATGGTGGGCAGAACATATGGGGTAGCAAATTT